GCCTTGTGGCTTGAGAAAGTCACAGAGGTTACTTTGCAGAAAATACACTGACAACAATTTCAAGCAGTTTTTTGTAACCAGAAAATCCTAGGAAAGCTTTCTATGAATTTATGGTTTAGAGAACCGAGTAACTAAAGAGAAAGGCAAGCCCAACCAGGCCTCAGTGTTCCTTTAGAGGTGGGATATTAACGTATATAGCATGCAAAAGTACCAATTTTCATACTGAATTAAGATAAAATCAAGGTGAATTTATTGCCTTATGCGAAAGATAAATTTTGCAGCATAAACAAGTTACCACCAGGTTCAAGTTAATAAACTAATCCAAAAAGATAAAAGTTTCTTCCAGAAAATAACTTGGCTATGAGAGGTCGAACAGTGCTTTACTTGGAAAAAATAAGTAACAGATCCTATTAGGCAAGACCTGTTCAGTGAATGACAGCAGTAACAATATTACTCTGTAGCCCAAATTCCCCAACTTACTTAATTTCTAAGATACTCATTTTTGTATCTTGAGGAGGATGCAAGGCTTAGAAGCGCAAAAGGTCCAAGAAGAACTGAGGCACGAGGAGCTTAGCCCTTACTCCTGCCTCCAGCACCATTTCTAGATGGATCATCTAGATGGATGTATCATTCCTCCTCTCTCCCCCAAGAAATCAGCCTTCAAAACACCAAAATTAACTTTATAACCTATTGTTTAGTGCCTTCCATGTCACAAAAGAAAAACACTACAGCTGCTCAGTTTTCTCCCTTGCTAGATCCCAAGCAGCCAACAGCCTGGCAAAGCAACGAAGTCCCACAGCAGAGTCTAAACTGCACATACTCACTGCTGGCAAACAAACCAGACCAATGTTGCAAGAAACTCTTTGGATTCCCATGTCTCTTTCAGAAAAAAAAAGAAAAGTTCATTTCTTTAGTTGCTTGTATTCAAGACGCAACTTCTGAGATTACATCATTATCAGTAAATGTATTACCAACAGTGGAGCTTCTAACAAAAGAAAACTGTTACCAAAGAGAAAAAACTGCCACAATAATATGCGCCTATTGATTCTATTTTTACTTCTCTGCTTCTGAGCCACATAGCTGCTAAAGAAAAACTTGGAATCAGGTACTTCACATGTACCTCACTGAAAATCAAGTCTTTATTTCTATTTGAAGACTTCGGGTTCTATCCAGTTGCCTGTTAAGACAGAACCTTGAGTAAACGTTGGGAAAATTACCTCATAAGACGTTAATATTTGACAAGGTAAAACCAAACCCCAAACATTCCTAAAAATAGTCCGTTCATTACTAATTTGCACCTTCTCGTATTTCATAGCATTTCAAGGGAATACATACTGCTTACTTATTCAACCGCCGAGTTTGCCTGCCCGACGGACAGGCACCGACACCCAGACACCCCTGCCGCGCGTTCGGTTTCGTTTCTTACCAGTTACCACACAGCCGGGTTTCCGCTTCGGTAACTGCAGCTATAGCCATTGCTTTGGTGGGCCCAGGAGCCGAAAGAGGCACTCCCTTTTCCTCAGCCCCTCACCAGGAGGAAAAGACACCCCCGTCCCTCAGCGCGGGGACCCGGGGCACAGCCGGC